ATAATAATAATAATAAATAGTAATAATAATAATAATAATAAATAATAATAGTAAATAATAATGTGATTGTTTCGTTTTTATCAATGAGGCTAAAAATCGGCCAATCAAAAGAATCTTTATTTGACAATAAGAATCATTGTTCTTATTAATCGGTAGGATGAATTGATTTCTTTTTAACATAGTTCATAGGGTTTATAATGTAGTAAGTATTGGTTCATTTTTATTATATAGTGAGATTATGTTTGAATTTCTATCTCGTGTAAATGATTCAAAGAATTATACAATTGCTATTTGTAAATCTAAAAAAAAAGCTCATGATCCATAATTTTGTGGGGAATGAAGTTTTTCAATTATTGTAATCGTCGAATTAATGAAGAATGCAAATTACTATTTGAAGAAAGATATTTTCGAAACTGATGTAACGTATTCTACAAGTGCATTAGATGAACCTGATTTAGCAAAACAAAATTTTGGCTAATTTTGAATTATTTGCGGATAATAAACAATCACATGGCATGTTTTTAGGCGATAGCATCAATGAATATTCATTCCTCGGCCGTTATTTTTAAACACAATTGTTTAGTGCGACCAGTTATTATTCTTCTTCTTTTCACCTACCATATATTTTAGTTAATTTCATTCCCTTGCCCTTGAAAATTTAAATAAATTTTGATGTTAGTAAGATTATTGCGAAACACAAATCAAGATTTCTAAAACGCATCAATCCTAAAACCTCAACCCTGAGATCATTTTCCGTTTTATTAATAACCACATTATTTATGTTTGCAGGGATAACGTAATGCAATGCATGAATCCAATAAATAACCTTTAACAATGAACGATCAAACCATTACTTCTGACTATTTGCGGATTTTTTTTTGGTTGGAAACAGATAAAGTCACTTCGTGCAGAAGCAGACACAGCTTCAACCGCTGGAAAAGAAAGCAAGCACGTTTAACAAGCGCTTTGCCGTACATTTATTTCCCCACACATTTTCTTGGAAATAGAAAGTTAATATTAATGTAAAATGTTAAAATGTAATGCCACAATAAAAATTAATAATTAAATAATAATAAAACAACAACGCAAAGCTTACAATACTAGAACCACACATAATTCTATTATTAATTGATTTTTAATATAGATTACAAACAAATTATTTTTATTTGCAAAGTCAATATGAATTAGACATTATTCTATGTTGATTTTGAAGCGATTTTATTGGCTTGAATAAATATTACGACTATTACTTTTCAAGTGATTGACATCGAAACTTTAAATCAATAAAATTAGCCACAACCTTAAATTTGACACGCGGATTTTTTCCTTCAAATTAGGGATTATTAAAATAGAAAAAAGTCTTGCTTGGTGTTAAAGTTTATCAAGCAAGTCACCGCATTTGGAAATTAATTATTATTCTGCTACATTTTTCCTATTTGTGTATATATAGATAAATAAATTTATCGAATTTTATAAACCCATATATTATTATTTTCCATTTTCTCAGCCATTCATCAAGTTTATAAAGGTAAACATTGGATAAAAATCTTAGTACAACTACAACATTACAATATTTAGAAAGTTGTAATGGCAGTTTTATTTTTATGAATCATCAACTGATGTGACAAATTGTTCTCGACCGAATACGTATACATGACATGTCACAAGATTAAAAATAGTTTTTGTGTGGAATGAAACACTTTTAAAGAAAATAAATTTTTTTATATAATAGTTTGATTTGTTATCTATGGTCTTCTATTTTACTATTTTTTTCTAAACAATAATCATTTTTTAACGTCATAATTCACCCATTGTACGCATGATACATGCGACTCAAAAAGTCAAAACTCACTATTAGAAACATAATAATAAGTGTAACATTGACAGTTAATATTAACTGTAGGGGAAAAACTCGAAACCGAAACTACTTTAGGGGAAAAATAAAACCCTAAACCAAAACTATAATTCCTTACAAAATTATATTTAGAATTGAATTTGCAGATCGCAAAAATTAGTATCATGGCTTTCAGTTTCGGATAGGTTTCGAGTAAGCTCTTCTCGCGAAACTGTTTTGGGAGTTCAAAAGAATTTCGGGTTACAACATTCATAGCATGTCACAATATTCTCTAGATTAGGAAAGTATCTATCAGTTAAAAATAAAACAATTTTCACACCATCTAATCAGTCAATTATCTTTGTCCATCTTCACAAAGCATTCACACAGAATCCAAATTTAAATTTGAATATTGTAATAAGTCGTACCTGAGAAAGTAATGGTGGTCATAAAACATTTTGTATCGGTAAATTCGTATTATTTCTTTTGGTCAATTTGGAAATGCAGATAAATTGGAATTGTTTGCTTTAACTTTGGAAAAGGCAAATTTTATAATGTTAAAGAAATTTTAAAAAGTATTTAACGGTTATTATTTATTATCCAGAGAAAAATTTAAGATTAATAATGAAACCCTGGATTTTTTAGCCAAAGAAAATATAGAGCTGCCGATTTGACCAAAAGCAAATGAACTAAAGGAAAAAGGAAAATATAATAATAATAATAACAATAATAGCAATGAAATTGATATTATCACATATTTAAATGAACGGTTCAAGAATGGTATTGTATTAAAGAAAATCGTTTTGATCTTTAATTGCGATAGTTTGTAAATGGCATGTTTATTCAATCTATTGATATATTCTTCCATATACATTTTTACTATACATATATATCTATATATACACAGTATATACTATATATGTGGGGCTTTTGAAAGCAATTTCGGAACTCTTTATGTAGAAGATTTTTGGACTAGAAAGCATGCTCACTCCCCATAACATTGTTTCCTTGAGATGCAGATCTTTTTTTTCTATTTTTAGAAAAGCTCTCATAGTATATATAAAATAAAATAAATGGGGAATTTCTTTTTGCACTTTTACACATGAAGAGCGCGTAAATTATGTCACGAAAATATTAATTGCGCCAATTTTCAAAGGAGACTGTATCAAATCGTTAAATCCCAAGGTCAACTATAACTTCCAACATTTAACCTTTTGAAGCAAGGCTTGAACATTCAAAGTTTGTTTTATCACAACCGGTCAAACGAATGCACAAATCAAACAATCCTAAAATAATAATAATAATAATAATAATAATTCTATGAGTATTGTATTTATTTATTTTTTTTTTTTGTGGAAGATCTTAATTATTTGGGACTTTAATGAAACCTCTGAACAAGGATGGTTTTGTAATTTCGACATCACATAAATAGCAAGATCTGTATTTAAAGGAATGTTACTATGCAAAATGGAGTATTGTTCTAACCCAAGGATGTCCACGCAAGGAATCGAATGTTAATATATAAGGGAGCATTTCTCCCATTTGATTTATATCAAGTAGATGGGTGATATAATAAATTTGATAACTATTTATGTATAAGGTAATTAAAAATTATCGCCATTAAGATGAAACAAATAAATGCGCAAAAAATTTTTTTTCGTGTTTGTGTGTATGTAGGTAGATAAAGAAAAGGATCTTAAATTGTCATATTTACTCGGTTATAAATAAAATATAAATAAATATGCATGCTGACGTTTATGCAAAATGTATATCACAGTCATATTTATAATTCTCATTCAACCCACACATTCACATATCCATTTATATACATTGATTAGATTCAGATAAGATGAACTAAACTTTATTTTGGAAGAAGAAAGCTTAGATTTTCAATTTTATTTTATGTATGATTGTTGGTTGGTTGGTCATGTGTTTATTGATTGATGTATATATATCATTATATCCACACACCCAATTAATGTTGGTTAATTGAATGCGCAGTAGTTAAATAACCAATCGGAAACACCATTATTCATATTTTAATTACTTTTCTTTATATGGAACCGTAAAATATTAAATGATAGATATGGATACAAATGAAAAAGATTACACATAATTATTATTTATTATTAGTCTTTATTTATATAATATCGATTAATTTAATCATTGTGTGAAAAAGATAAAATATGGTAATTTTGATTCCTTTTGTGAAAAATTCTTTTTAAATATGTTAATTAATGTATATAGTAATAACAATTTTCATTTTATTGTTGTATAAAAAGCCGAACGCGTGACCAATATTATCTATTTGTTCCTACTGAAAAAGGCATATCACATACGTTATCTATCCTGAGTAGGTACCGAGTTATAAATTTATAATGAATCATTTAAATTGTTTACATTTATGTATGACGGACGTTACATGCACATACATGTCGTTTATCATTTAAAGATTTTGGTGCTGCTGATGATATGATATTTATTATATATATTAATATTAAATAATGATATATTCTGCGGCAAGAACAAAGACAAAATATTTCAGGGTCCAATGTGATGAAATTTTTTCAATCGTACCATTTGATTCGTTGTCTTTTATACAAAGGAGATAATTCCCGTAAGAAGAAAGAGTAATGGAAGGTGAAAATTGAAATTAAGTTAAGCCAATCAAAGGAATTCTCTCATCCACAACACATATTCAAGAGACTTTCAAAGAATAGTAAGTAACTGATTGCAGAACTAAATAAAATTATTCATAATTAATCTTTAATAATATTATATTTTATTATATATATTTGTGTTTATGTTTATATATATATTTATATTTATATCTTATGTTTATAAATATTTATTTGTTTATTTTGGGAAAATGATGGTGAGTCTTATCCTCATTATAGTAATTGATTGATAATTTGGGAGACTGGTTAATGTTCCAATAAAAAAATCACGCACGGTATATTAGCTGAACTTTCCTTTATCATATAAAACTGACTGATAGGATACAAAATCTCTTGGATCCAAATATTTCTTCTCCCTCACGATATATTAATTAAAAAGATTTTTATGGTGGTGTCGAGTAGATTTTCACACTTTTAAAACTATCCCCTAAAGTTTTTTTGTGGCGTTATGTTAAAAAAAAATTTATTATTATATACAAATATCAAATATGAAATCAAATGGTTTTGTTTATTTTTCGAGCCCTTTTTTTTGTTCTTTATTATGATGACATTTATCATTTATCATTTATTATTTTTAAAATTCATTTTATTAATTATTTCAACCAATAAAATCTTTGAAAAGGATCAATTTATTTTTTTTTTTATTTTTGTTCCGATGGAATTGATAAGTTTAAAAAAAACTTTTATATCATCAGTGTTTTACAATATTAAATATAAATAAATAAAATAAATAAAAAATTTTTTGTATTTTATTTTTTTATTAAACAAAAAAAACGTATATAATAAATAAATAAAAATAACATAAAAAAGAAAAAAAAAAAAATTTTTTTTTCATAAAAAATTAAAATTAATAAAAATTTCATTCTTCTCAAAACTCAACTTTTTATTTTTTTTTTCTTTCTAATAATTCAAGCTTTTTTATATAAACTTTACATATAAACTAATTTATATATATATATATAATACACAAACACACAATATATAATATAAATAGGTTGATACTTGTGTAAGTGAGTAAAAATATTATTTTGATTACTTCTCTCTCTCACACTCACTCACTCACTCACTCTATAATTTTTACTTTCTTTAATTCCAACTAATCTCACTTTCATTTTTTTTACTAATAAATTATAGATATTATAACGAATAGCATTATTTATATAATATATAAAATATATATATATATATATAAATTGAAAATTTAAACTTTTCTATATATAATGCGTTTTTGGCAACAAACTTATAATTATCCATTTGTTTCAGGAGGGAATAATAATAATAATAGTAATAACAGTAATAATATAAACATCAACAATAATACCCACGATTTAGAAATATTAAATAACACTACTTTAAATTTTGCACGTCCTCAATCACCATCTCATACCGCTTCAACAACTGCTACCCAAAAAAAAATACGTGAACTACCGAGGATTATTACCAATTTTTCTAAAATAAAATCATGGAATCTACATCAACAACAAAAAAATCAACAACAAAAAAATCAACAACAACAACAAGAACAACTGCCACAACAATTACCGCAACCATCACAACCACAGCCACAACTAAAAGATGAAGTGGAAAATAACTTGACTTCCAATAATAAAAACAACGACAACAATAAAAAGAGTAATAATAGACAGTCTGTACAATCAGTGAGATTTGCTTTGGACCCTAATCACTCAAAGAGACATCAAAAAACTGAATCAGACCATCATATAATTACTGATGTTAACAAAAAAAATAACAACAAACGATATAAATCGATGAGAAGGTCTTCTGCTCCTGTGACTGGATCATTAAATAATAGTATTGGCAACAACAACATCAACATCAACAACATCAACAACAACAACAACAACAACAACAACAACAACAACAAATTAGAAGATTCAAAGATTCCAACAGTAAATATTGAATCTATTGACAACAACAACAATGTATTATTATCATCTTCACCGCCACAACCACAAAATAATAATTACGTTAATGTTTCATCATCTGTTTCATCATCTTTGGATTCTAATGCTTGTTCACTATCTCCACCTTCCTTAACTCCTTCCTCCTCAGTGTCTTCTTTAAGCTCTTCTGTCGGTCAACTTAGTCCTTTTTTAGTAAACAGTAATCACATTAATAGCATCAATCATCATCATCATAATAATAACGAGAGAATATCTACTACAGTAACTACAAAACCAAAATTACCGCCATCTTCTTCATTAACTCCGGCACCGCTACCATCTTCTTTAAATAATTTTAACATGAGACCAAAATCAAAAAGTATTTCAACAGAAAATCCCTTCACATCCTACTCCTTACCTGATCGAGTCACTCCAGCTTCTTATGATGATGTGCCATGGTCGCCTGCTGTCTCATTTTTATCCAGTTTGGCTTCTGCAACTTCAATTTCCCCTTCACCCGATGACGAAGGTCAACAAGTTGGTGATTACGTTCTTGGTAAAATTATTGGTCGTGGCGGGTTCTCCATCGTAAGAGAAGGCTATACTATGGATAATTCATGTACAATGGAAAAAGTTGCAATAAAAATTGTCAAAAATAATCAAGAATGTGAAGATAATGATCATATACAGGTATATAACATGTTTATTATTATTATATATATATATTTATTATTACATGTATATATATATTATTAACACACGCGCACACACACATGTATTTTAATAGGCATTGCTTGAAAGAGAAATAGCAATTTGGCGAGAATTAAAACATCCAAATATAATAGAAATGTTTTCTGTCAAAGTAACAGAATATGCCACCTTTATCTTTTCTGAATTTTGCCCTGGTGGAACTTTATTACAATACATTAAAAATCATTCTAAAGCTTCCGGTAAAGGCTTGGACGAAGACGAATCACGTCATATTTTCTTGGAAGTGTCTAGTGCATTGAGATATTTACATAATGATATGAAATTGGTACACAAAGATATCAAGCTGGATAATATCATATTAGATAAAGATGATACTTGGAAAATTTGTGATTTCGGTTTAACCGAATTTCAAAACCCTGAAGCCAATGGATTTTCTAACCTTGACGAGGTTGCTGGTGGTTCGTTGGCTTATTCTTCACCAGAACAATTAAGATCAAAGGTTTCTCTCAAAGATCCTGCTGTTGATATATGGAGTTTAGCTGTTGTATTATATGCCTTGGTAACTGGTCAATTACCATTCATGGACGATTTTGAACCAAGGCTGCAATACAAAATCATTAATGGTAGATATGATGAATCAATCTTACGTAAAGCTGGTGCTGATAATGATCTTTGTGATTTATTAAATGGCATGTTCAAAGTAAAACCTGATCAAAGATTAACAATAACTCAAGTATTGGATCACCCATGGTGTCAACCATAAATATGGAAAAAAGTTGGGTAGATAAAATGTCTTGGTTTTTTAATAATGTTAGCATGTAATGTAATGTCGGGAATATGGACTTTTATATATTATAGATAGATAGATAAAAAATAATATCATTGTTAATATTTACAGTATTTAAAATTTGATTTATATATATATATATATATATATATATATATATATATATATCATATTATTCATTATTTTTTTTAAAGAGGTAACAACAAAAACAATTTTCCTTATTTCACTTGTAAATTTTTATTTTTTTATTTTACCGTCTTTTTTTTTCCCTTATACACACACATCTTGGTATCTATATATATATATATTAATATTACAACTTACAATCACTATTATTATTAATTAAATCAGACAATGGTTTCAGAGATCATTTTTTGTTACCAATATATTAAAAGGTGTTAGCTATAATCCTTTTTTTTTTTTACCAATGATGCACCTAATACAAAAAAAAACAGGGAACGTGTTTTATGACACGAATTCACATGTACGTGATTTGAAGTGATAAAATACAACACGACTTTGACAAATTTAATATGGTATTCTTTCACCATTACTTTCTATAACTAGCTCACATCTTCATCTCATTGATCTTGCTTGATATGCTATTGGGAATGGAATTCCATAAATTGCATTAAATCCCCACAATTTTTGGCATTCTCTTTTCTACATTTGTCTTGACTAAATGCCATAAATTCTCTCAATGGGATTTAAGTCTGGACTATTTGCGGGCCAGTCCATTTTAGTTGAGGAATGTTATCCCAAAGAAATGACTTAGCAAGACGGCTCGTGTGCTTAGGATCATTGTCCTGCTGAAATCGCCAGCTTCTTCCCATCATTTCACGAATTTCTGGAATATGATTTTCCAGGATTTCGACATAAAATTCCGTATTCATTATTCTCGTGAAGCAAAAAAGGCTAGTTTTTTACCAATTTATAAAAAAACCACCACCCCAAGCAAAAAATTTTTGATGATCTTTTGGGATTCGACGAGTGGGCTGTTCTCTCTTGTACCAGCGTTCTACTGCATTACGAAAGAGCCGAAAAGCTGTCTCATCAGTAAAAACGGGTTTGTTCCAGTTGTCATTCAGATGACTCTGTGCACCATTCTACTTGTTTTCGTTGTGGTCTTCAGTTAACATCGGGTTGGCTTTTGGTAGCTTCTTTTTGTAATCAAGACCCACCCAAAAGATACCTCGAAATTTCCATGCGCGAAACCTGACAACCTTTATTTGATAATTTTGTTTCAAGTGTTCTCAGCGAAATAGCAGAATCTCAGCATATAGACTGGCCAATTGTCTTTGCGTTATTTTTTTTCCGGCCACTCCCTTTTTTCTGATCCAATCTACCATTATTATATAAATAGTTCGCATGGGGATCCTTATAATGCAAAATGGTCTCACGTTGTGTATTCAAACTTGATTTAGTCATTTCGTGGTCGAATTCAAAAGCTAAAAATGAACTATATAGAAAACGGCTAAAAACTCTTTTAAAGAAGTTAAAAAAAATAAAAAGTTATTGTTTGTATCAAAAAACACTAAACAAAATTAAACCACACTGTATGTTGAAAATATTGAAAAGTTTTCTTCATTATGTGTAACGTTCACACCTACAAATCTAAAAATAAAATCTTATTCTGTCACTCCCACCACTCCTACTAATAATGTTGCCAACCAACTCTATAATGATGAATTAAACTTTACATATAAGGATAGTGGCATAAGCTTAAACTTCGTTTGAGAATCTTCCATTACGTAAATATCATCAACATTATCACAGTATATTTTGTTATCCAATAATTAGTCTTTTTTTTTTATACAAGCTTCAAATAAACCATTTGGTAACAAATTGTTCATGGTTATAAGAGATTTATTTCAAGCAATTTTATAAACGAATACAAGAGTGCAAAAAATATAGATGCAAAAGTATATCTGAACATGTACAATGAATGAGTTGATTATGTATACATGACAAATATTATTTCATCTAGTTTGGAATACATACAATTCAAATTGTCCACGCGACACCAATGCTTAATAAAAAACGTAACAGAGAAGTTTCTTGTCAATTTGAATTGGTTTATGAGGGAAAATTGACCGGCTTTTGTGAAAATAAAAATACAACAAGGATATGATTTTCGCTAGTAAAAGTGTATAATATAGATCCAACTAATGTCATACCTCTATAATCATTTATATTACAACAACCAATTACAATGGTTACTAATTGGGTAGTCTCGATTGGTTTTGTACCAAGTTATTATAAAGGACAGAATTTTTAAAAAAAATATTAGTACGCGTCGAAATCAGTATTTCATCAAAAAAGTACTGTCTTGTGTCAGGTAAAAAAAATCATTGTAATCTTTGAACCAATAATATGAAAGAATAAGATGGGAATTATAATAATAATAGGTTTGTGATGACGAAGACGGTGACGACGAAAGAAAAAATATGATACTATATTATATTATAAATATCAATATAAATAATATAAAAATTAAACTAATTCATTTTTATGCATATGATATTCTTGCTTTTTCCCTAAGTTTCCATCTTTTTGGAGTTTTGGATAAATTACAATTATTATAATTGTCACCTTCTTGTTCTAGTTGATGTTTACCTTTAGCAATAAGTTCATCAAGCGGATCAATTGCATTTGCATCAATTGGACCACATTCATCACATCTCCAAACAAATCCGCTAAAAGAAAGCCATTAAATACAAAAGTAAAAATAAAAATATTATTATATAGCAATAATAACAATAACAATAACAATAACAATAGCTTACCCGTTAGGAATAGTTTTTATAGGCGGATTCATACAAGCAAGATGATTCCATTTTTTACAAAAATTACATCTAAGCATTCGGTTAGTTATATCTTTACCTTTCTTTTCTATCATTGTAGAAGAAGATTTTTTAAAGTGAGCGTAAAATAGTGGTGTTTGATTATGATCTGGTGGTTCAACTTTATTACATTTGGAACATGTAGGCTGAGGGTAAGATGTACTACTAGTACTTGACAAATGTATATTTATCGCATCATCATCATCATCATTAATAGGTTTGATGATCTTTGGTTTATAATTCATATTATGGTTCACATTATTACAATTACTATTATAATTATAGATAGTAATAAGATCACTACTTCTGCTGCCACTGTTGCTGCTTCTAATTGCATTATTACTAGCTATGGGTGCCAAAAACCTAACATCACCATCTACTAATGCAGTAAATATATTACCATAAACGATTTTCGGTCTATTATTACTATTATAACCATTCATATTATAACCATCAAAAGATCCATAATCTTTGCCATCTTCATTGTCTGCATCTTCATAATTTTTACTATTTTTATAATATTCATAAGTACCATCATTAAATATTCTATTATTTTTATTTTTTTCTTTCATTGCTTTATTTTTTTTATCATCATCTTCATAATCATAATAATCTCCATTTCCATTATCACTATTATTGTTGTCTACAGGTGGACCGATTGATCTCGTTCTAGCTGCAGTATATGGCACTTTACCAGTATAATATGCTTTTTTTAATTGATTAGTAAGATTATCTACTAATTGTAATGTTTTTGAATTCGTTATAGTAGAGGATGATGATGATCGAACTTGTTGTTGAATATTTTTTAGATTATCATTGTCTATATTGATGGCAACACTAACATTATTATTAAAAGCCTCATTGTTATAAGTTGAATCAGATTCGCCATCATCATCATCATCAATTAGACTAGTATTTCTTGGAGTTTTGGATTTTGATGTATCATTACTATATCTATTATTATTGGTGTTGTTGTTAGTCTCAGTTTTAGTTTTGTGTGTTGTTGTCGTTTTTTCATTCTTGTTAACTTTAAGTTTGTTTTCCTTTTGTCTTTGATCAATACTTTTTTGTGCATTATTTAATCGTAATGATTCAATTCCTTCAAAGTTACCCAACTTTTTAACATTAATTGCTTTTGCTTCTTCCACACTATCACTATTCCAATCTGATATGGAGTTTGGTAATTTAGTTAATAATTGTCGAATCTCAATTAATGCTCTCATGAATATTCCTTCGTTCATTTGATTTCCTGCTCCTTTGTAAGTTGGATATTCAATGAAAGTATATTGGTTTGTTTTGTTGGTATTTGTGTCATTATTAACAATGGGATTAGTTGTGCTATTATTCTTTTTATCAGATTTGATATCACTGTTTTCGATGTCTTTTCTAATCATCTTTTCAACAAACATATCTACTCCAAGTATTAACTTTTTAAAATATTTTACTAATTCAATAGTTTCTGATTTTGCTGTTAATGTATTTTGATACAGTAATTCAATATCTTTCTTTGCTTTATCAAGATTGTCCTTATCTTGTTTATAACTCGAATATGATTGTGCAATCGATTTTTTAAGTTTGGTTATTTGTATCTCTCGACGTTTCTGATATTCACTATAACTATCTTCAAAAATTTCTCGAAGTATTTTCCCTTGCTCTATTAACCAACTACTACTATCGTCACTTGTAAGTTGACAGGTTCTTTGTTGTGATTCTTCAGATCTAATTTTATCTAAAAATATATCACGTTTCAAAATCCATCTTTCCCATTCGTTCAAACAAATTGATCCAGCTTGCGAACCATGATCCTTACAACTCTATTTATTGTTTATATGCGTAAGATAGATGGTTATAATTATTAATTAATGAGATATCAATCAATCACGAAAACAAAGTTAAAAAAACCCCCTTACAACAAAATAAGGATCTGCCATTTCAGAATCTTCTACACATTCCAAAAGGTTATATGCCTGAGCACATGTTACATGAATCCAATTTCTACAACCACCTGCATCACAACGAACAGTCGCACCTTGACTGGCAAGTTCTTTAGGGCATATACAACATTCCTAATAAATAATAAATTAGTTGATTAATATTGTTCACGATAATAATAGTGATGATGATGATGATGATGTTACTACTTTTTTAATTATTTACCTTTTTCCAATTTACTTGTTTAACATTAATGATTGAGCACTCATTTAATTCTGATGTATTGGCTATCCACATTCCTGGTATCCACAAAGCACAAACTAAATGAACCCATGCATTTGTTTTGAAACTTTCCTCTTCCCTCAATCTACGAAATGCTCCAGTTTTTTTTGGGCATAAAATGCAAGACTATATGTAAATATTTATTAAAAATAAAAATAAATCAAATTTTAATTTTAAGAAAAATTTTCTTTATGATAATCATGATGATTAACTTACCACCACTTCGGCTGGTTTTGCAAGACATTTGTCACAATACCAAGGATCTTCTTCAGCAGGTAATTTTGTTATGCCGTAACATTCTAAAGTAAAGTTATATATATGATATATAATCATACAAAGGCCATCACTAACACCATTAGTAATAATAATTAATACCTTGGTGACAAATCACCTCGCATTCCCGTCCATCACAATACACTAATATATTTTCCACATTAGTTGCACCCTCTAGGCATACACAACATACATCCGGAGCTTCAAGGTTCTAAGTAAAATTTTTTAAAAAAAAAACATTCGAAAATTAACGTATAATGTAAAAATGTATAGTTAATACAAGAATTGCATGCATACCCATTGTTCTAAAAATGCCTTTACGGGATCTTCTTCTTGTTTTTGTTTTTCTTTTGGTTCTAGTCTACCACTGAATCCTTCAACGTCAACAAATCCTTGTTCTTCCTTTTCAGAGCCTAAAGCTTGTTTAATAATATCATTACCGACAGTAATAATGCCTGTTTCACTTTTGTTATAAACTGTTGTTGGTTCTATTGATGCTTCAATGTTGTTGTTGTAGTTATTATTATAGAAGGCACCATTACCAATTGTTTTGATGAGTTCTTCCATTTGTTAACATCAGTATCAATCAATTTCCACGGAAGTCGTTGAAGGGTAACAAACGCGATTTTACATTGATGCAATCAGGCAATCAGGGGGGCTTTATATCATATTTGGGGCATGCTGTAACAATACCTGTGATATCATCAACTGAACAATTAATACCGCAGTAGAACAATGAAACGATACAGAAATTTAGAGACTATTCCCTTCTCTCCTTTACTATTATTGACCAAAAAATTTGATTTTATAGAAAGAAAATAATCCATTGCTGGTAAATAAATCCAATTTAGTACAAATTTAAAGATGCAGTCAGTCTTCATTTCATCCCTTCTGACGGTGGTTCTTCCAAATAACAGTCACAGTTCTGATGGTGGTGCAGCTAAAGAAGAATCAAAATTTTATTAACTATATTGGTCCTGGTGAACTAGAAACCGTTGTTCCTCATGATTCTAGCCAGGTGCTTTTTTTATTATTAGAAAATTCATACCTAGCATGTTCCGGCTTGGATTATCTAGTTATTTGCCTTTTTCCCATTGTCACAATGGAATAACAACAAAATAAACATATTAAAAAGATTTCATAAATTTGTAGTAGTAAAGCTTCCTTTGGGTTCATTAGAAAGGGCTAGCGGGAAGCTCTAAGTGATATTTTATGTTTAGATGACTTGATTTTATGTGTCAATGAATACTTTGGAATTGAATTATATCATTCTACGGAGGATTTTGGTCAGATAATAGATCGGAAGCTATGGTTATAAATTAATGGCCAATTGAAGCTTGATTATCACCTGAATATCAGTCGTTTATTAAATTGTCATAAAGTCTCTAAAAGACGAATATCCAGATCTAAAAGTACGTGAGTCAACCTTAAATCAATTGTTAATATAAGATAACCCTTTTTCCCATATAATAGTATTTTAGATATAATTCATACTAATGATGCCTGCTGCCTGTAAATAGTTTGGCTATTTTGTAAAGATTGCAACTTTTTAATATGTAGTTGTCAAAAAACCTGTAATATGTAATCTGTAGTACTTGGTATTGCAAATCATAAATTTTATTATCATTTACATTTTTAAATTAGTTATCTAAAAAATATCAAATATCAAATATCAATATCAAGTATTAATAAAAAAAGGTTAATTTTATTATCATTTACATTTCAAGTCGCCGAACTCTTGTAGATCCTTTAGTCGTCCAAAAATGGAAATATAACACCAATAAAACAAATCGTAACCTTGAAGCTAAGACCTTTCTCTACAAAGTTACGATTTACAATTTTGTATATTTCATTATGCACATCCAATTTCAAGATCTCGTTTTTTTTAAACTTGAGCATTATTAAACTAAATATTAATTGATTATATGATCAATGTAAAAAAAAATTTTTTTTGAATTTACTCTTCCAACGACGACAACACCTTGTTTTTTGAATTTATATCAACTCAATAATAATTAACGCAGTACCTAATCTCATTCTTATTAAATTAAACCAATTTAATAAACCAAATAATGAATAAATAAATAAATTTATTTTTCTTTGTATAGAAAGTTTTACTAAATATTATGCTATACCAATTCATAATAAACTACAAATTTCACTTGAGATAGCTTTTATTTTGTCCATAAATAATATTTTTATATATTTAAAATAGTGAATTGATAAATTTTTTATATAATATTAATGTATAATATTTTTTTAGATCAAGTTGTAAGAATAAAAATAACTGTTAAGTTAAGTATAAGTTTAGCTTCCAATCGTACTTAATATAACTTTGGTGTATTATTGACAAAAGACTTGAGATTACTTGATTCACTGCTTCTTCCACAGTGATCAGTCACAATTTTCGTCGCTCATCTAAGTCAAGAATCTATTCGGACCCGTTCGATCCAAGACTCTAAAAGCATAGAATAAAGGATAAAAATACTAAATATAGTTTTGTTATTATATACCATATTTGCAGTATAATTCAATATGTCACAAATCAATGATCTACACGTGACATAAACCACGACAAAAAATTATTATGTTGTTATGTTGCACAGCCTCCTGTAATTTCAACGTGACTTTGGTGAAATATTCACTCATGTCAGAAGGAATATTTCGATCGAGCTTACTCAGAATGGAGCATTATAGGGAAAATACCTCACGTCTCTTGAAAACATCATAAATACTGAGGCGTGACAGAGCACAACAGCTGTTCAATCAGTATAAGAAGGTATGTAATTTTTTTGTTAAAATGTAAATTAGGAATCTGTGGCGTAGCAAGGACTTCTAAGCTCCTCTGCCATTCAAGTCTCTAACCTGAGCCACGAAGTAGTACTGGTGCACAGATAACCTCTAAGCTTATCTACGTTCAAGCATCTAAGCCGAACTGTACTGCACCCACCTTGAGTGCAGACAACCTCTAAGCTTATCTGACATTCTGTAGGATAAGGAAATTGGATGAAAAATTGAGACGCGTTAATATTACTCATTTTTGAATCTTTTATTGCTAGGATACTCAACACGATCGTACGTTAGCAAAGAAGTGGAACTCCGAACGTTCACGTAATCAACTTCATATTCACCAGCCAACATTCACAAGCGGTGGAACTAATAATGTGAATATAAGTGAGGATTATCAAAAGTGGAACATTCAACGCAAAATCAAGTAGTACATCACGAAATAAAGTGGTAAGAAGTTATTTTTAATCCCAACTTTGTTAATTGTCTTCTGAGAATTCTAATATGGTGAGTCTGTGATCATAACCCATGCTTGATGTATTTTTTAATACCTTAGAACAATTACAAATGGAAAAAAAATAAATGAATTTTTCTCCCATGATATCACATCATCACAACTTCGTGAAAATGACGATACAGATCATGAAAATGATGTACCAACAAGTCCTTCACAAGATGCACCCGAATATTTTGATAAACTCGTAGATAATGTGGACTTATCTTACATTGGAGGGGAAGAAGAACCTTGCCACCATCCAAAGCCTGGAGTTTCACTAGGAAAAACTTGGGACACTTTTACGATTGATGAATTGACATTGCAAAATGTTTTGGTTCCCTTCGTAAATCCTTACCAAAAACAAGTCCCGAGGTCCAGTAAGTATTCCTTGTATAATGAATTTGCAGATAAGTTTCGTGATAAATTCACTAATATCATCTTTCTTCTTGAAGTCCACCATACTGGGGGTCTTTGACTTGACAGGAAAATATAATTTTTCCACGAAATGGAATGAACTGTTTAATGCTTTTCGACTTGATGTAGGATGGACAATGGTCAATTTTGACCAATACGAATATGTCCTTTTTGATAACATGGAGGTAATTACAGTGTCACATGCTTTTAGTTGTTGCTTTTGTTTTATTAATTCTTTTTTATTAAATAGGACTTGAAAGCCCAGCAATCATTACCTGTACTAAGTGCCCATCTTACGATATTAGAGCTGTATCTTGAACACCTCAAACTACCAATTAACGAGGGAGAATTAGTTTTGTTTTGTTGCCCCTGAGCCTAGATCCAAATCAAGAAAATTTTCAAAAGCACTGGTAATTTTTATGGGTTCTACCAGATCGGGAAACCTCTATTGTATGTGACCGCCAAATTAAATGACAAATTATATTAATGCGAATCGATTTTCCGAACACATTTTAATATTAAAAATTATTAATAATGCGAATCGAAATAGCTAAGGACATATGAAATTGATTATAAAATATTTAAAAGAAAGTTTTGTGTACTTGACTGACTAAAATGATTATAAATTAAAAATGTTTCATCATCTAGTACAATCAAACAAGGATTAATATCATTAATATTATAATAAGAACGAACGTATTCCCAAAAAATAAACTACTACTTGCGGTGTAATATGGATTGTAATGTCTCCTGCAAATTCTTGAAAGTTAGGGTATGTAGTAAACCGTTTTTGGCATGAATCATATGAATCATAAGGAATTTTTTTATAATTTTTATTATGACTTTTCATTTTAATTTTATTAATAATGCACTAATAACATTACTAATATTAATTTTATTGGTATTATTATTTTATTATTGTTAATAATGCGAATTATAGTGTAAGCGATAACATTTTTTATTAATAATGCGAATCTAACATTTTTTCTTCAAATTATATAAAAACAGTGACCTTTTTCATTTTCTATCGATGCGAATCCATGGTGAGGCAGTCACTTTTTTTTTAAAAAAAAGTACTTTCGAATCATAGTGTTGATGGTCACATTCAATAGAGTTTTCCCAGTCCTGTTCTATGTTATTTCTATCAGACTAGATTTATTAATTCCATTTATTTTATATTTTGGAAGCTAGTTGCAAGCCAGGAAAGGATCACTTGAGATAACAAATGGGAGATTTTAATAATCACATTACTAAATTTTGATCCCTGAAATTTTTGGTAATACCAATGTTCACTTTGTCTGGTTTTGTTACAGCATGCCCCATATTGTAAATTTCTTTGAGATAAATAATTTTGGTATTTTGACCAATAAAAATGTTTTCACTTGACAAATCACGTGAAGATCACCGTTTATGATGACTCTAGGTGGGTTGGCACCATATGAGAAAAAAAAAAGCAAATTCCATTAAAAAATCTTTATTATTTGTTACTACCACCAGAAAAAAAATTGAATTAAAATATATTATAAAGGCACATAGAAACCTTCTTATTACATACATACACACATACATACACACGCACATATGTATATACGTGCATACATATACATGTTAGTAAAATATCTGAAAAAACGTTAGTAATTTTTTTTTTACAAAAAAAATTATGATTATGAATCATCCTAATTTCTAGTAATAATGATGATAATAAAATAAAATTATTAATAAACAAGCAAGCATGCATGGTTAGTTTAGAGAATAATATCAATATTAATTAAATTGGTTAATTAGTTAATTTTTAAAGATTAGTTGATTTTTCTTTTGGAATATACATATATATTCTACGATGATGATGGTGGTGGTGGTGGCGGCGGTGGTGGTGGCGGTGGTGGTGGCGTTGGTTGCTAGTTATTAAAAATTAAAAAGTTAATATAATAATCACATTTGGGAAATATAATTTTCAAAAAAAAATTTTTTACCCATTGTGTAATTGCTGATGGAGGAGGTGGAGGATAACCTGCAGCTGCTGCAGGCGAGTAACCAGTTGTTCCATAATAAACAGTATTACCATAATTAGTAGCATTGTTCGAATAAGCAGGATAAGTATAACCGGTTGTTGGAGTAGATGCAAATGAATAGTAAGAAGATGCAACAGTTGTTGCTGATGTATATGGTAAAGAAGAGCCAGGTGGCGGTGGTGGCGGCGGTGTTGAATAAAGAGATGTAGTAGTTGATGAGGTATTAGTATTAATAGAACCAGTTTTTGCACTCCATGATTCTTGTGTCCCTGGTGGCGGTGGCGGTGGCGAATTACTTAAACCTAATGATAATTAATATAATATTGTTATTATTTATATTATTATTACGTTTAGGAAAGAACACACATTTACCTGGCGGTGGAGGAATTGTAGGTGATGCTACAGGTTGCTGTAATTGCCAAGGAGGTACTGTAGACAATACTGTAGGAGTTTTCATTGATGTAGTTGCAGTTGCAGCTGCAGCCCAAGGTGTTAATGGTGTTGCAGCAGCTTGGGCCCACGGTAGCTTGGCTGCATTAGTAGGCCCATAATGGCCCTATTATTTTTATAATTGTTATTTTTTTTGCTATCAAGAAAACAACAACAACAACAGCAACAATGATAATACATACAGTTTTAATTGAAGCATCATTAATATCTTCACCTAATTCTGCCATCAAATTCAAATATTCACTATCTAATCTTTGTTCTCTTTGATTGGCTTGTTGTAAAGCTTCTGGATTATTTCTTTCCATACAATCTCTGAGAGTGTGACCATGACCACCACATATACGACAAGTAAGATTTATAGTGAAATTTTGACTTTCACTACATTCATATTTTCTATGACCAGTTGCACCACAATTTGTACAAATTTGATTTTCATCATCTCTCAGTGTACCATTAAGAGCTGCCAATTCACGTAATTGTTGTCTTTTAAGTTCATTTTGACCTTCAGGAACGGAAGCTGACTATTATTGTGTTAAAAAAAAATATATTAAATAATTGATGTATTTTTATTTTTAAACCACCTCAAATAAATAAAATTTACATTTTCAATAATTTTGTCAATCATTTTTACAGCAATCGTCACTTTTTCCTCAGTATCAGCAGTAACCAAACAATGGAGATCCTCATCTTGATTAGAATTTGCGGCAGCATCAGTTCTACTTTTTCCTTCTTTGACACTTCCTTTACCACGAATGCTAATTTTAGCACCAGATTCGGTTTCCATTTTTTTCAATGTATTACCACGAGGGCCAATTAACAAACCAATGAAATTGATTTCTGGAAATTCCTTAGCTGGTATGTAAACTTTATCTTGAACTTTAGTAGGGCGTTTATAATCTGCAGGTGGTTTAAAATCAGGATCTTTCTTGACTGTCTCCTCAATTAATCTGTGTCTTTCATCCTCTAATTTTTTACGATAACGATATTCACGAGTATTAACTCTTTTCCCCTGTGAATCATAAAATGGTTCTGGAGATGGTGACCTAGATAATTCATTATTTATAAATAATTTCTCAGGGAATTATATATATTTTATAAATATATTATATATTATATATATATTACTTACCTATCTTTTTCTGGTGGAATAAAATCTCCATTTCTCAATTTTCTACCAATTTCTTCTAACCTCAAATGAGCTAATTATAATTATTTAATATATATGTATATTAATTATATTAATGCTAGAAAATAAACAAAAAAATAAAAAAATAAAAACATCGTACTTAAATAAAGATCCAATTGTTCTTTTGACATCTTTGAAGTAATAATAGTTGGTAAGCCAGGGATGTTCACCTTTGATTCTTCATTGCCCCATCTACTTCTTCTCTTGTTCCTACGTTCTTTTTTATTATCTAAAATATTCCAGTTATTTGCACATAATGATGCAATTTTTTTGGAAAAAATCAAGCAGTAAATAATAATAAATAATGATAATGATAATGATAATAAATGCAGTTTTACAAATTTGTTAGTATATGAAAATGGTTAATAAATAAAAATGAAAAATTTTTTATGTAATAATATTTGTTAGGATTATCATTATTTTTCCTGTATGTCATTAGTATTATTACTTTAATTTGAATGATAAATATTATTTAAGAAATGAAAAAAAAAGAAACTAGAATCCTGATTTTAAAATTTTATGTAAGGGTAGTTAAGAAAAAAATCTACTACAATTTTTTATACCTGATTCTTGCTCGCCATTATCATCATTAGATCTTTTAAGTAAATTTCCAGCATTGGTGGCAGCATCATCGTTAATTTCTTGAGAAGAGGTATTTTGAATTATGTCAGGTGTCTCTTGTTTTAGTTGTTGTTCTTCAGCTGTTGTATAAACGCCTATTCGTCTTTTACCTAATGGTATATTGTTTGTACCAGTTATAGAAGGTCTAAACATTTCGAGAAGAATTCTGAGCGAAAAAAAAACTATTACACTTTTTATATATATATATTAATATTTAAATATATAAGATTGGGCCCAATAATATGTGTTACAAACATATTAATAAAGAAGTCATATCTCAAATTTGGCTACACAGCAAGGGTATTAAATGGGGATTAGAAGTCATTTTGATTGTATGGTGCAGATCATCAAAAGTTTACTATCCCTATTGATCTGCGTGACATGTTATGTTATTTATTTTAATATTTTTCTACGCGTGAACTTTTAAACAAAAACAGTTGAGCGGTATAGTTTTAAAAAACAAGTATTTTTATTGATAGATTTGTAGGTTATTTTCTTCTTCTTTATTACTGTAGTGATAATAATGTTTATGACACCAGTTTTAATAGTTTATTGATCTATTATTGACCAATATAATAATAGTTATTATCATTACAATTATTATCATTGCTATTGTTATCAAAGCTTAATTTTTCAAACTGGAAACTCCAAAGACTCCAACTCGTTCGTTTCCTTTAACCAACAACAACAACAACAAGACCACCATCACGACTTCCAGTATAGCAAAATCTCCAACATCAACAACGGTTATTACCACTACTTCTACATGTAACACTAATAAATACAAATCGTCATCGTCATCATCAACAACTACACCACCAAGGCGTTCATCGTCACGTCACATAACACCAACTCAGTCTAAAGCTAGGCAGCAGAAGTTTACTGATAGTACTAGCACTACTACTTCTACTAGTACTATCAGTAATAATAGTGCTAGTACTAGTGCTAGTATTAATTCAGTAATAACTTTACCTAGATCGCCATTACAACCAACATCATCGTCACCATCAAGGTTGCTAAATTCAGCAACAACTTTACACAGCTATTTTAAAGCCTCAAAAAGAAAAGGCCTTACAAAGAATCTTCTTAAAAAGGAAATTTCAAAACTCGATGTCATCACAAAAGATTGGTTAGGTAGTAATGCACCTCCTAGACAAAGAAAAACTAAATCTCAGGTATATATTAATGTATATATATATATATATATTGTTTGATGATAATGATAATATTTGAATTACACGTAGAGAAAAAATATTTGTTTAAAATCTAAAATAATATTAATATTAATATTAATATTAAAACAATCAATCAATAAATAAATATTTGTCTGTTAAAAATAGTGCGATCGATTTATCCCAAATAATGCAAACGATCAACAGTTCCAATGCAGTAATATTAGGAATCAAGAAACTGGGAAGGGTCAAATTTATTATCATAGTTCCGAACTAGAATATCAAGACAAATTGGCATATGCGTGTGGACTGGCAATCGAGAACCGTATATTGGCATTTAAGATTGAAAATCACCAACAACAACATCATCAAGCTAATTATCAATGTCAAAAAAATGATTTACTAAAACAAGTTTATGGTTGTCAATCAAAATATTATATCAAAAATCGTATAATACCGACAAACCCTGAATTGATTCTTGATGCACCAGGAATAGTTGACGATTATTATTTAAATTTATTAGATTGGAGTAATAAAAATATGGTGGCAATTGGTTTGAATGAGGGTGTTTATTTGTGGAATGCAGATACTGGGGAGGTAAATGAGCTTTCCAACATTAGTAGTATTATTGATAATAACATTTCTAGTCTTTCTTGGTCTGAAGATGGTGATCATCTTGCTGTGGGATTGAGTGATGGAGATACTCAAATATGGGATATTTTAACTGCTCAAAAGGTCAGATCAATGAGTGGTCATGCTACTCGTGTAGGTGTTATGGCATGGAATAGACAAATTATTGCTTCTGGTTGTAAGGATAGTAGTATTTGGAAGCATGATATTAGACTTGCACAACATAAATTTGCAGAATTGCTTGGACATACTGGTGAAGTTTGTGGTTTGAAATGGAGAAGTGATGGCGAACAATTGGCTAGTGGAGGCAATGATAATAAAGTCAATATTTGGGATGCAAAATCAAGTGTTCCAAAATTTACTAAAACCGGCCATAAAGCTGCCGTCAAGGTAAATATATCTAAATATCTATATATAATATCATTAATCATTTGATTTATATGTATATGTATATGCATACTCAATAATATAAAGGCTATTGCATGGTGCCCTTGGCAAAGAAATTTGCTTGCAACAGGCGGAGGATCAGCAGATCGTCAAATTCATTTCTGGAATACAGATACATTAGCACAACTGAAATCGATTGATACCCAGGCACAAGTTACATCAATTGTTTGGTCAAATCACTACAAAGAGGTATTATCAACTCATGGATATCAATTTACAATCTGGAAATATCCTTCGCTAAAGAAAGTTATTGATGTTAAAAATGCACACGAGAATCGTATTTTACAATCTGCTTTGAGTCCTGAAGGGGAAATTGTAGCAACTGTGGCAGGTGATGAGTGTTTGAAATTTTGGCGTATATTTCAGAAGCAGAGAAAAACTAAGAATGGTGGCACTGACGATGACGACGATGATGACTATGATAAAAAAGATTTGAATAATTTGAATTCAATTAGATAATAAATAATATATCTCAAGAAAAAATTTTTCAAGTGTAGATGAATATCTAGGATGGTTTTAAAATCACCTCATTTTGATTTTAAAGGTAATAGATATATATAGATTGTTGAAATGATGAAAAAAAAAAAAATATATATATATATACATTAAAATAAAAAAATAAAAAATTATTAATTGCTAATAAAAACAATCAATAATAAATCATGTTTATTATTAATTGTCAAGTGTCTTTATTTGGTTGCTGGTAAAATCTAACATCATTTTCTTGAATAAATTTCACCAACGTTGACTATTGTTTCCATATTCTTCATTGTAAAGATAATATAGAATATCAAAAACATAACCATTAGAGTAAATATAACTTGTTAAGTTAATCAATGTTCCGCATTGCTATTTATCTATAATAAGAATAATAATTAATAAATTTAAACTTTAGGATCTTTTAGTGTACTCTAACAGCTGACTCAAATCTAAATTGATTATGATATAATGTAAATTCATGATTATGGATAATAATAATTAGCTTATATAAACATTTTTGAATGTAAATTAATACATACAGCAAATAGATAAATGATATGGAAAATTACACATTAATTTTTAGAACCTCATTTGTTGTAACAGATTTGAATATATTTTCAGTTTCTTTTGAATTATAATTTCTGTAACTCCAATATATGGAGAGCATTTGGATTTACTAAATATTATGTTAATTAAGTTTTATTTATATAATAGAATTGGATCAATAAATAAAAGATGTATAGAAAATATTTGAACCCTGTTAAGATTACACCATGAAAATCTGCTTTTAATAATCTTTGAGAAAATACATTTTGACCAAAAGTTCCATAATATATTGAAGTTAAAGTTCATCATCATCATTATTTTCTTTGATCAAATTTCACATCAATTCATCAATTCACGCCTTTTACTTTTGACAACAATCCTTTTTTTTTTTTGGATTAAAATCCTTTAATTTAGTGTCATAAGCTTTTACTACTGATTTTTATTTATTTGCTTCCTCACAAAATTGGGGTAGTTTTCTTCGTGGTCTCTGGCACTATGGTTGTGGACACACATATAATAACAATAATGGATTATCATTTGGGAGTGGCAAAGTACAATCAATTTATGGGATATCAAATTTAGTTAGCCTTTGACGATCTGGCTATCTTTTTTAAAAAACACATATACGCGTCTCATGTAATGTTTAAATATATGGGATTGAAATGTCCCACATGTTATATTTTATATAAAATTACATTTTTTAGACCATAAACATGGCCATAAACAAACTAGAAAGTAATACAATAGAAGTGGCTAAAGTTATAGAAGTGGAGGAACTTTCAGCAGCGCCAGATTTAGAAGAGTTATTGTTTGTAGGTTGAATATTTATCACGCCCCACATACCGCCAACGCTACAATGATTTGCTACACTACAATAGTAATACAGCACACCATTATCCTGGTTTATCTTGACTATGAAATCACTTTGTGAAAAGCCTTCTGAAGCGAATGCATCTGGTTTTGTTGAATTCGTGCATGACGCTTCGCTGTCCGATTGAACAACATTGTGTTTGATATTTGGATTAACAAATTTAAATATCACCTAATAAAAAGGAAGCGAAAGAAATAATAGTTAATGTGATGAATGATGAATGATAAATGATAAATAAATAATTAACAGACAAACAAACAATCTATATATCTGTCTGCCTGCCTGCCTGCCTATCTGTCTACCTCATCTCCATTTGAAGCTGTGACTTTTTGTGGTATAAACTTTAAACCATTTTTGCCAACTTCAACTGTGACATTATTCGCACTAATAGTAATAGTGAAAGCTCCAGCCAATATAACAAACAATACTATTAAGGCACGTTGAAGAATCATCATTTTTAATGAAAAAAAATTTTTTTATTGAGAAAAAGAAAGGATGTGTAAGTAATGGTGATGAGAAGAATTTCGATAAAAAGTGTTTATTTATTGTCTAACCAGCAGACAATAATAATAGTGATAATGATTGGATAATATAATATTGATTTTTTAGATTCCTCGTTATTTATAAATCAAATAATCCTTCGTTAATTAATTAATTAAAAAAATAAAAATAAAAAAAAAAAAAATAAAATTTGTAAAACATTTAACACTACGCTCGTGTAACTTATTGGTATTACAGTCATTACGGTCACACGGTCAAATATGGCCGCGAATTTATTTGAATGCGCAAAACTTTTCTGAGGGTATCGCTTTCTAATATGAAAATAATCTTTGAGATTCACCACATAGATCTATAAAAGAAAATTCGTGTAGTTTTCGTAAAACCTTCTTTAAAAGTTATACAACTGGAGAAAAAATTATTATTTTGGGCAACTATTTGCAGATCATTCCTAGATTCACCAATAAGAATGCCAATATATGTGAATAAGTTTTAAATATTTGACGATTAATTTTATTATTTACAAGAAATTTTCTTTAATAAATAGTAGTCTTTGACTAATCAAACCAAATGGGACTGTTTTTCTCAAGTTTTGATATAATTAAAAGTAAAAAGAACAACGATCAAAAATAATAGGAACACAAATTTTTTATTTCATAAAAATAACAACATAATTACCCTTTTGATTTTTAAGCCTGTTTTGTATACAACCTATTTATTTTATCCATATATTTATTTTTGATGTCGTACGACATTGAATGAGCATGATTTTTCCATGGTGTTCCTTGAAAAAGTTACGAATTTGTTGATGTGAGGAAACAAGAATATTAAGAAAGCCGAGAAAAATTGCAGTATAATCAGCAAGGGATCATAGCTCAAAACAAAAGACTATTGCTAAATTAGTTGATAAAGGGCTATAATTACCAAAAGGTTGTGTAAAAAACCCTAAACAATCTATCCCAAATACTTCCAATGAAGCTATTATCAACTACTTGAATTTATTATAGGGTATTATTAAAAAATTAGAATGCTCTGAGGTTTTTCTATGGATATCTATCAAACTAGTATAGATGAGGCAGATGCTTTGAATTAAAGATATGAATACTTACATGTTACCCAGATTCAACAGTTTTATAGAACCATTTAGCAGACCAAGTAGAGATAACCAATTAGTAGGTTCTATGGATAATGAACATAAAGATCTAGAAGCTTATTATGCTAAATGAGGCAAAAGAATTAAGCTTCCAAAAGGGAGACAAATAATGATATCAATAACCAAGCATTACCTGGTTTTTGTTAGTGGCTTGCTCGTTACCAGCTTAATGTTTTTAATCTTTTACTTTCTTGTAAGAAAAGAAGGCTCTAAATCTTATTGGTAAGCATGATCGCATGGTTCAATTTTGATGTTTAGCAAATTTAATCATTTTTATCAGAGATTAGTTGGTGGACTTGTTCAGTTTTGTTACAGTATGCCCCATAGAATCTATGTTTAAGTTGAGATAATAATAATAGAACTTGAACAATCTTAAATTTAAGGTTGAATGGTAACCATCCACTTTTTTAAATTTTATCCAATAATTCAACGTACCCTTGTGGGATAAATGAAAATTACACCATATCAATTCATTAAAAGTGATGTTTTTTATTTTTTTAATTGTATTATTAATTGGTTTTTTTAAAATTATCTTGATCAAAGTATTGGAATTGTTATAAAGCTAAACCACTTGCTGTTAATAAACTTGTGATGTGATTTGATAGAAAAAAGTGCTTTTATAAAATTTCCAATTCATATTCATATTCAATATAAATCTGTTTCTGTAAAATCTACACTAAACCCTTGATCATATAATAATTTATTTTTAAGTTTCTCTTTTTTTTGTCTTGCTTCGATCTCTTCTCTTTGTGCTAATAAAATCTCATCTACTGCGACTTGTCTAAGTGGTAATTCATCTTCTTTGTCAAGATCCTTTGAATGATTATCATTAATAATAATTTAATTATTTTAAAATTTAAATTAACAATTTAACAATTTAATTACTTACAATTTCTCCTAATAGTACAACATTTTCTCCTCTAATTATAAAAATTCCCCTTGGGATATCTCCATAAGCATCTCCTACATAAATTCTTTCTATTGTATCTTGTAAAACCAAGTTTGCTAATACATACATATATATATATATATTTGTAGAAAAAAAAAGAATTATGTTAAATATCTCTTAAAAATAAAAATACATATGTAATTATTATAAAAATATGTATTTATTTTCTTATTCTACCAAATTGGTCAAATGATCTAAGTACCCCAATTAACTTACGACCATCACGAAGTACTACCAATAATTTTCCTATGTAAAACATATTATCAATCAATTAAATTTTTAATTGTTTCACACTCACACACCAATTGACTAATTCAACACTATTGTTACTTTTATTATTAACTTACGATCAACACTATCGACCAAGCTTGCAGAAGTTGTAAATATCTGTCCAGGGATAAAATTGTCCATTAATAATTATTATTGAAAATAAATAAAGTTGAAAAATTTGGGTCGAGAAATTCATGTCAATTTTTGAATGACAGTATCACATGATTAAATTTATCAATTAGGGTTTGCCCCTTTCATCATTGTATATTAATATATACTAATACTAATTTTTTACTATCAATAAGTCCGAAATTTAAAAATGTAGGTCTTTCCAATTTAAGTAATTATTTTTTATATTATGCAAAGCGCAATAAAAATTTTGTATGACCATTTAGAAAAACAGATACTCCAATGGTTCGTTTTTTTTGATGAGTTATATAATTTTTTAGTAAGATAATTAAAAGAAAAGAATAATAATCAAATCAAATAAAAAATTAAATCAAATTTATATTATTTAATTCCTGAAAAATATACTCTGGAATTCTTCTATGGATCTATATTTTTTGACAGCATACTCTGCCAACTTTCCAATAATTCCATTCCTATATATATAGATCCATGTATTTCCATGATTTCTTGCAACGTTCCATTAGAATTTCTTTCTTTACTATTTACTAGGTTTCTTGTATGTAATTTTCTTTTAGATGGTCTTGGCATTTTATAAAATGAATAATATCTTTATTGGTGCGATAAATTAATGAAATTTATCAGGATCACTTACTTTTTATGGAAAGAATTTTAGTCCGAAATTTTGAATTTGTTAATAAAAATTTTGTGCTATAAACTTTTAAAGTCAGGTGACCATTTTTGATGACATGCACCATACTTCCTGGTGACTTATCCGAGGTTCCAAATCACCATTATATGTAAGGCTCTGAACAAATCGAATCAAAACAAATTTTAGAGTGATTTGTTTTGATTTGATTCATTATGTATAGTCAATTCTATTCAATTTGATTCAAAAAAATTGAATTCAATTTATGAATGCAGAACCAGAGACCCTTTCTTTTTTAATTATATCGATGTCTTCATCACAAAGAAATAGTCCACTTCTGAACTTCTTTGACTAATGGAAATTGAGTATTGGAATAACTATGTTTGAATAAAATAATGTACAATTAGAAAATTTTTTAATAGTTTATGCAAACAATCAGATTGTTGTACAACAGAACATGCTAGATCATACATGTGATTGTGTGCCCAGAAGTCTTTGACACATTGAACCATCATAATGATAACAATGCAGTCCATAACTACACCCACAACATAATGATGACTATATTTTTAGTCAAAATTTTAATTCTTTTTGGAACACCAATTACTTTTGCCAAGAAAAAAAATTTGAATGTAGTAATGATGATATCATATGACACTATCAAATATGTATAGGAAAGGGAATATATAATTATCATAAATAGGAATATGCAAGATTTGAGTGCAATGTTCAGGTATTTAAATATCCAAATCATTGATGGTTTTGGGTATAATTCTATTTTTATTAATAACCAAAAATAAAACAAACATACTTTTATTTATTACACTATATAGAATAATTCCATTTTTTATTAACAATAAATAAATCATTGATGGTTTTAGATATAATTCTATTTTTATTGATAATGAAAAATAAACAAACATACTAGAATAATTCCATTTTTTGTCATTGATACCTATTGATTAAAATACTATAAATACAAGATGTTTTTTAAAATTCAATATTTCAATTTAATTGAATCAATAAAAGACATTTTACAGCTTGTATATTACTCTACCAATAATTAATGATAGTTCAACTTTTCTCTAATCCTTTATTATTTAAGGATTTTGAAACTTAAAAAAACTATCACCAATTTCTAATAATGTGATATATATATACAAATTTTGTTTTCTTAAAATGTTTCTTTAACATCACGTCTGTTTTTTTTCCTGCTCATTTCACTAATACTAATCATTGCTTACAAATAATATAATTATACATATCTGCAGGAAGATTATTGCATATATTTAAGAGCATGTTTCCGCCATAATCACCAAAAAATTGACAGATATTTCTATCATCAATAATAATAATCAGTATACATGCCACCATTATCCCAAATGCACAAATTGAATTTGGGACAGCCCATCAAAGAATTCCCAAATCCCAAATGTAGATCAGCTTTCCTGTTCAACCAATAAGAACCTAGTATTTCTAAAGTGATCAACAACCCCTTTGTTATGCTCGATTCTCATTGGACAAAGAAGCAGGCACAGGAAACGGGATTTGGGATTTCTGATTTTTAATTTGGGTAGCATCTATAGACTTTAGGATGACATGTCTTGCTTTTTGGTGAAAAGGCTTAGGTGACACTGTATATTTTTTTTTAATTTCATTGTAATTAAAAGGTGTAGGAGAAGGTTGATTTGATAACTCCATGGTTTTTCTTCTTTATCAGGAGGATAACTATCCTCAGAGTAATTGACAGCATTCAATGCTTGAATTATTTCATTATTTTCATCATCAACCACTTCTTGTTCCTGATAAAGATGGCTCTTCAATTAATTGCAACTAATTGCAGCATATAAAAATTGAATTGCAGCTAATTGCAGTTCCCATTTTTAGTTCCTGATCATACATTTGATGAATTTTCTTTCTGATTTGAACTATTGATTTTGAGACCTTTGAATTTTCTATCATATATTGGTTTTTTAGTCCTGCTTTCTGCCATTGTCACACCTGCTTTGTAATATTTTCGCCTCAACTTTGCATGTTAATCTTAAGATTTGTGCAATAATTCATCAATTTGTCCAATTGGTGCTATAAGAAATTAAGTCTGCTAAGTATGATGAAATGCATATATTAGTAAGGGAGTGAGTGAATAAATGAATAACAAACCTCCAAACAACATAACATTCTATGCACTGCTTCGTAAGCAGGCAACTCTTTTGTTGAGGCAGGTAAAGAAACTTTATCAATCATTCCGAAACAATAAATTAATGAAGTTTGGACATCCATTGCATAAAGATTTACTTGTAAGCCTGCAACAAAACAATGTTAGCAGTCTTCTATCAGAAATTTGTATGCATCTTAAAATATATTTACCAATTACTTGGCATCCAAATACAATGACTTTCATGTAATCTGTTGGTGGTAGACCAGGAAAGATCTTCATTACTTGTTTATCATATCTCACATCTCCGAACAGTTTGGTTCAAACCAAAAAATTTTGGTTCGGTTTCGGTTTGGCTGGATCTTCATATTTATATATATTATGAAAAGTTTTGTTAATAGAAGATGTTTGTTATACATGCAGAGTTTGTTAAACCAAAGTCACAAAAAAAATCTTCAGTTTTAAAAAACTTAATAAAATCGGCTTATAGAGATGATTTTTAA